GCAAGAACTTTAGCTAAAGGAATTGATCTATAATGGAAGAAAGGAAGAGAACACCTGAGAGAATTTGGCTTTTCTGATAACAGCATTCAAGGAAGCAATCTGCTTACAGCCTCTATCTCCAGTACTATGAAGGAGAAGCCTCCAGCTGTTGCATTGTGAGCTTCCATTGCAGAAGTCAATAACATCATGGTAGAATGTTTGAGCTTCTCTTTATTTCACATCCTTACAAGCACAATAGTATAGCTGTATTTCATTTACCCCATGAATATTGTCAGTTTTGGAACTGACAATAGAGAGGTGAGACCAGAGTCTTCTCAGCATTCTCAGGATTGCTCCACAAGCTGCCCGCTTGGAGATCTCTTGCTTGGCAGAAGGCTCTGGTGAAAAACTTGCAAGACTGTCAGCCACAATCCATAATAGGAAAAGCCAGTATGGTGGTACACCAAATTAACAAGAACAGCTATCGTCTCTGACAGATTGCTCTGTTTAATTATAGCTGTTGGGGATTGAGTCAGCTGCTTGAGCAACAGGAAAAATCAGAGGGTCATTAAGACGGTCTATTAATTTTCTGTCATGAGGCGCTGCGTAGCTGTGATCTGCACATGCGGTGTGGCTGAGCACATTCCAACACATTGGCCTTTAACTTTCATTTGATAATTGAAAAAAAAAATCTCCATGGAATCTTTACAGGATAAGAAAATGGTGACTCTTGGATGAGAACTTATAATAATTAATATTCAGCAGATGCACTTTTTTCCCAAAATAAACTCAAAAGTACTTTTAAAGAAGGAAAACGGATAAATGAAATGCTACTCGCTTCGACAAGACAAATAATAAGCACATTCCATTTAACATGAAGGTCCACGTCTATTCTTTGAAGTAACACTTACGAAAATTAAAACACATGTTTTCTAAAAAAGAAAAGTCCTGTGCTAGGTGACTTTGCAAAAGATCAAAGTATTTTCTTAATTGTAATTGATTCACTGTTTAAACATGGACCTTTGTGTATATAATCACCAATGCCTCTATTTTACACCAGAAAAACAATGGATCTGGGGCCAGAACTATATTAATAAGGGACTATATGAGGCTCTCAAAAATAGCTGAAGGTCCTGAATAGAAGACTTGATGTGTAAAATCAAGAGGATCTGAATTTAAATTCTCAGCACCTATGTAAAAAAAGGGGGTGAGGGCATGACTATGTGTGTGCCAATGGCCCCATGGGAATACAGACAGGAAGATAAGATGAGCTTGCTTGTTAGCTAACCTGGAGCTTCAGGTTCAGTGAGTCTTTATGTCAGAAAAGGACAATGGAATATGATCAAGAAGATTACCTGGAGTCTTCTTCTAACCTCTACAAGAACACACATAGCCATGGCCTACTGTACAGATATGGATGCATACCACACATGCATGCATGCATACATACATACATACATACATACATACACACATACATACACACATATACACACATACATATACATACATACATACATACATACATACATACATATGCTAGCTGACAAAATGATCTAGGCTACTAGAATAGAATCTTTAATCAATGCACATCTCTCTTATAAAAATTTATTTTTAGCATTGTTAAAGCTTTTTGAAGCACAATATATATTTCTTTAAATTCATGGAGATGAACTGTTCTCATACTTTACCATTTTAAGGAAACTTCCTATCTCTGTTTAATAATCCATTCTATGTTGTTATTTATAGTTCAAATACCTAATTTTTCACATTGTCAAAACTATTTGTGGAGGTGGTTCTATGGGTAAGTATTTGCTGCTTACGCAATGGGATTTGAAATTGACTGCCTACCATCCATGCATAATCCAGATGTGGCCACAAGAGTACCTGGACCCCGTGCTGTGCTGGCAGGGTGGAAAGAGGAGTACCACTGGGGCTACCTAACAAAGAAACAGCAAGTTCTACATTCAATGAGAGTTCACATCTCAAAGTAGAAAAGAAGATAGCAATAGAGGAAGACATCTACTGCCCTCCACTTCCACGTGCAGAGGAGCATACATTTAAACACATCCATGCACATTGTATAAATTACTGCATACAACAAAAATAAACACACATTTAAGAGAGAAATATATCTTCAATGTAATTAGTAATTGAACCATTGTGGGTTTTTAATATAGTCATACAGCAGTTTCACTTATAAATAGGTTTTGCTTCAAAGAAATAGAAATTAAAACATTAACACCTTTATTCTAACAGATGGATCTATGGGATCTGTACTTATCTACTTGATACAGCTCTGTACTGTGGAGTTATACTACACTTCAGATTGCTTAAATACAATTCAGAGTCAAGTCGTGATCTTAGCATTGGAAAAAAATCCAGATGCCTGAAGACTCACTCATTCTTCTTTACAGAATCCCAAACAGATATTTCAATGAACATGACGAAGATTAGCATTAAGAGCTGATGGGGCTGATAGTCAAAAAGAAAAGAGATAAAAGGAGACATTTGTAGCTAGACTTCCAGGCATCATTTGGGACATAAATGTCTAGCTTGCTTCCTTTGGCACAAAAGCCATGACCTGTGACAAACATATGAATGTCATCATGTTGACAGGCTCTACCAAATACATCATGGTAGGTAGTCAATACCCACATTTGAAATAGCTTGCTCAAGAACTGATAATAGTCTTTGTTGTACACAGCAGGTGGTTTCCAGACAAAGCCGCAGAAATCCTCTGATAAGGAAGTATTCTTGCATCACATCATATCCTGAAGACATAGCTAAAGCCAGTAAGTGGAAAAAAAAACCCTGACATATCAGAAGGCATGATAAGAGAATCTCTTTAATTATTATGTATATCTAGAGACCCCAAAGTTCTTGGCTAAATGCATTTGCTTATAGGCTCACTGTTAAGCCTCCCTGATTTCACACTAGAAACATTTTTCCTCTTCTCTTCCCTTTCCATCTTTCTTCTACAGACAAGCTGAAAGCCTATGCCTGCTTGCCTGATCAGTCTGTGCATTCTCCACATCTCTGAAGAACCCATCAACTCTGTGAGCAAACTGGAGGACATCCATTGCTGAGCCTGCCCTGGTGACATCTAACTCAGAAAGCACAGCTTACCTGAATTCTTCTTGTGTTCCCCAGCTCCTTCATCTTGTCAGCTGCAGTATCTGTCTGCCTGTCCTGCTGTTTCTCTCTCTCTCTCAATCTAAAAAAAAAAAAAAAAGGCCCTGACTCCTTCGGAGACTATTTTTAAATTCTTTTATGAGTGAAACCAAGAACCAACAAATCAGGCCCTAGGTGACAATATTTGTGCTGAAGATCACTAATCCCCTGTTTCTTCTTTAACCAGTCCATTTTCTATAGGCAAGTGTGCCCTAGCTTTTCAGATATGTCCTGTTTTTTCTTATTTATGAAGCAGAAGAGTTCAGGGAGATTCCTGCTCTCTCCTATAGTCTTCTCTGTGGTTCAGTTCAGCTATTCTTGGTTAATGTCTTTGGTTACAGAAGAGTGAGGAATAATATCGGGTACCTTATTTAAATGTTTCTAAGTTTCTCCCAATAAATATAGCAGGTTACTTTGAAAATGAATTACTGCCATTGCTTTTTCAGAACTGTGGAATGCATGTGATGCCTTGTGTTCAACACACTCTCTCTCTCTCTCTCTCTCTCTCTCTCTCTCTCTCTCTCTCTCTCTCACACACACACACACACACACACACACACACACACACACACACACAGAATTTCTCTGGATACATTAAAATATCAAACATATTTTTGTAGGACTCTTTTACCCTCCGTTATTGTTATTTTAGTAACATTATTATCATCACTTATTCACATGATCACAGTCTGATCATAGCCTCCTTCCCTCTCTACCCCTATGCCTACCATTACATCCCTTCCCTCGCCCCTTATCTTTCTCTGAGGAGGAGTGGAGGCCCCCCATGGTTACCCACCTACCTTGGCATATCTTCACAACCCGACTAAGCACATCCTTTCCCACTGAGTCCAGACAAGGGAACCCAGCTATGGAAAAAGAGATGCAAAGGCCAACAATGGAGTCAGAGACAGGCCTTGCTCCAACTGTTGGGTGACCAATATGAAGAATAAGCTGCATATTTGCTACATTGGTGGTCCAGTCTGTATGAACTTCCATGGGACCAGGTTAGTTTACTCTGCAGGTCTTCTCGTGGTGTCTTTACCACTTAGGATCCTCTACTCATTCCCCTAACTCTTCTACAAGACTCCCTGAGTTCCTCCTAGTGCTTGGCTTTGGGTCTCTGCATCTGTAGGATTTTTCTAAAGTTAATTCTATTTTGGTCTATAGATACCTTTTTTTTAAGTGTTTGTACTAAAACCAAATGTAGTTAAGTTGGAAACACATGTGATACTTAAACATCAAGCATGAATACTTTGATAAAATGATCTGCTCCTATAATTAAAGCCTAAAACATTTTGCAAGTAAGTTTTAGAGATATAGTGCAAATTGTAAGTTTGAATTAATGAATTGTCAAACTGAGCATGACATATTCCTTGCCTAAGTAGTTGATGTTCTTTACAACTTGATTTCAATACAGTAAATAATATAAGCAAATTGCTGCAAATAAAAATTCACAGAACTATGTTAAGACATGAGAACATAACTTTTAAGTTATCTTCCAGTTGTTCATTTTTTTCTAGGTCTGACTCACGCTTCTTTATTCCAAAAATATAATGAAATGAACTTATAATCCTTTAAAATGTGATTTACTTAAGGCTGGGAAAATGGCTTGGTATATAAGAGAATTTGATCTGGAAGCATAAAGATGTTAGTTCAAATTTCCAGAACTCACAAAAATAACCATGTGGGCATGACTAAAGTCAGCATATATCTTCTTCTGGTGTCTACATGCACATGTACATACACAGATTTCTATCATATATATACATAAATACATCTGCTATAAAATATGATTCAAAGCTTTTCAGAATCTACTTATTTTTTCCTTTTATTTATTATTGGGAATTTTTTGATGCAATGATGCAGCAGGTACTACAACACCAGGGCACTTCATGAAATAGAAGTAGCAAGCCCTATTCCATCTCTCAGCTTCAAAAATCATCTTATTTAGTGTCATCAGATAGAAGAAATATCAAATATTATACAGAAAGCAAGATACTACATTTGATTTTATCCAGAAGTGTATAGTGTATAGTGATATAAAATTACATTCTTATAGACTGACTTCCATGGTTTAAAAATATATAAGGTGAAGAAACTGCATAACTCCAAGCCAGTAAGATTCTTGACACTAGAAAGTTTATTTTAAATATAATTAAATACAACACAAGTTGGAAAAAACATTTCCTGATAATAGTTAACTCAATCCTTTGTGCACAGTAATCTTAAGGTTTTATAAGGAACATATAACATCTTTGAAAAAGAATGTATCTATAGATTAAGATGTCTATATATGTGACATCTTAATAGACTGGAGGAGGATGCTGTGAGGTCTCAGTCAAACGAGATACACAAAGGTGACCAAGCTATTAACCATATTCATCCCTGGCCTTCTGAGCTGAACCAGGTTATATATCCCTTCCTTTGAAGAAAAAATCCTATGTGTTTAACATTTCTATTTTTTCCTAGTGGCATCTGTGAAAACAAGAAATTCCGAGTCTCTTTCTTCTTCTACTTTTTTACCTTTTTTTTTTTTTTTTTTTTGGTTTTTCGAGACAGGGTTTCTCTGTATAGTCCTGGCTGTCCTGGAACTCACCCTGTAGACCAGGCTAGCCTCGAACTCAGAAATCCACCTGCTTCTGCCTCCCAAGTGCTAGGATTAAAGGCGTGCGCCACCACCGCCCGGCTTACTTTTTTACCTTTTAAAGAGAAAATTGTAGCGGTAATAGAGATCTGTGTTGAATGTATTACCTGTGTGGCTAGTCTAATCAATATACACAAGCATAAGAGAATTAAAACAATAGCTATCAGAGGACTAATAGAAAGAAGAAAGCCATGTTAACTTTGATGGCCATTCAAAGGTCACT